ACCCTCAGAATATATGTATATGTACTTACTGAACTCTGCATCTAGCCCTGGGTAGACAGGCCTTCGTGGAATGGATCTGTTTAGCTATGATCAACAGCTCAACTGGAAATACCAACTCACTCCGAGAATCTTGCAGCTCTGGACAAAGCACTGTCACATCCTTAAACGACAAGCCCATAGTCTTGTTCACGCTCATTCTTCCCCTTCTGTTTATAGCGGCCTTTTAGCCCTGAACCTGCAGTGAGCTCTGCCCATGCATCTGACTGCAGGATCGGCGCTTTAGTGACAAGAGTTTGGAGAAACCTTAGATGGGTCCCAAATGGGTGGGCAATACCTTGGCTGGGAGCAGTGCTGAAGCCTGCATCAGTGCCAACAATTAACAACATTTCACTTCCGATTTGCAGGAATTGGGTGGCCTTGGTGCATTAGGTGGAACTTCCTGCGCTATGGGAAAGAAAACCAAGAGGACAGCAGATAGTTCGTCCTCTGAAGATGAGGAGGAGTATGTTGTGGAGAAGGTGCTAGACAGGCGTGTTGTGAAGGGTCAAGTGGAGTATCTTCTCAAGTGGAAAGGATTCTCTGAGTAAGTCCAACTTTCCTTCTGACTTGCGCTAACGTCAGCAGCGCTCCAAGGGCAGCGCTTCAAAATTGACCTTCGCTGCCTTCATTCAAGCTTTGCTAAACACCTTCCTGGGTGGAGCTTGCCTTCTTCACTCCGGATAAGAGTGGCGTGCATCCATTTAAATGAGTGGGTCACGAGGAGAGGGCCTGGGATCGTAAGTGGGTTGTAAATCACTGGCAAAAGTTACTTTCCCTTTGGCGTCTGCGTTCCCTCTCTCACTTCATGGAGTTGGTAGTTCCACTTGAGTTGTTCACCAGCACTCTCGTCTATAATCTTCCTCCTCACTTGAGTACCAGGGGCTGGCTCGCGGGTGAAGGTGCACCTGCGCAGTTTTTGTCTAGACTTATTGTGGAGATGTTAAACTGCAGCTTGGGTAAATGGCTGGTTTAGAAGAGGGATACTTCAAGTGCCTTTAAAAAAAAATCTCCCCCTTAATTTTCTCTTAATCTGCCCCAGTGGGGAAACTCTGCAAGTTGTGTGTCCTCTGTGTTTGTCATGGCTTTTGGCCATGTAGTCTACCATGAAGCACAGACATGACGAAAATGTGCAAGGTGTGTTCTATCTTGGCATGGGATGTTTAAATGGATGCACACTGCTTTAGACTGGGTGGGCAGGACATTTAACAAGATGTTCAGAAAGGAAAGTCCTGGGGGAAGAGGTTGGGAAATATGTATATTTGAATAGAAAATCTGGTAGAACTTTGTTTAGACAAACCCCGTTTCTTCATGTGTCCTCACACAAGATAATGACTTCCATTAGCGCTGCAGCGTATCCTGTCTCCTGTTAGTCTGAGGTTACGTTTCATTTTGAACCCCTCGCCTTACGAGTCACTGAGCAACATGGCAATCTGTGTTCATGAAGTGCAAGGGGGTGGAAAGCATTGATATTGCAGGTGTCTGGGCTCCCAAAGGAAATGGAGAACCCAGCTTAAAACCGTGGCTCATCGCTAACTTTCTTTGCCTCAGAGTAGGTCCGTGTCTGTGATCTTTGGATGGCAGCAGTGAAAATTCTTCACCTCCGTTTTGATAGTTATTACCCATCTTTTCCACGACAGGGAACACAACACTTGGGAACCCGAGAAGAACCTGGACTGCCCTGAACTGATTTCTGAGTTTATGAAAAAATATAAAAAAATGAAGGAGGGTGAGAACAACAAATCAAGAGAGAAATCCGAAAGCACAAAGAGGAAATCCAGCCTCTCTAACAGCGCCGAGGACATCAAAACCAAAAAGAAGAGGGAGGTGAGCTTGCTGGCTTTTCCCTCACCCCATTCTGCCACAAGCTTCTAGCAAGGCAGTGAGCTCTGTCCTGCACAACATGTTGATCTGGGTGGGTGGAAACCTGCTAAAAATTACAAGAGACTTTTAGAACCAAGAGTCAAGAAGGCATGTTCTGCTGGGCAAATGGGCGTAGAGCAACAGCTTGTTGTCCTGGTTACTCTGGTTGGCTGTGGGTCGGTTTGCACCAGTTGCAGGAAAGCAGCACTGCCATAGATTGAACTAACTGCTGTCTCTGACTCCAAAAAACGGAACGATTGAGCTTTAAAAGAAAGAGCGAGCTGCAAGTAGGCGGGGACACGAGAGATGCAGCTTATTGTTTGAGTGTTTGATAGAATAAAGAGACTTTAAATGCTGATTTTAAGCTGGGCACAAACCAAAGCATGTGCCTAAAGCCAGAGGTTTTCTTGTACGTCCCAATTTGCAGCAATCGTTGGGGGCTTCAGGGAGGATGCATCAAAAGTGTTCCTCAAGCATTCATTCGCTAGGAGCAGATTTTAGGGGATTTTTTTTTTCATTTGTATTTGTTGTGGTGTCAATTTAAAGTTTCTGTTTATTGTGCTGTGTGCAGTGACTAAGATCTACACTGACAGACTTGAGCCCAAATACATGTGAATGTCTAGAAGGCCTGACATGGTTAGGATTCCCTGCGACTTCTGTGCAAAGCAGGACCCATCTCCCCTGCCCTTCCCTTGCTTTCCGTATCAATCGCTGTCTCCCAATGGAATGCCACTAGGCGTTTCTGCTCGGGTCTCTGGAGAGACCTTGCAACGTTTCCTGACAGATGCATCTCTTTGTGCAGTTGGCTAGACATGGTCTCTTACTGACACCCACTGCTGGGGGTTATGCAGATCTCCACCGGAACTAGCTCCTGAACCCTTGACCAGCTGTACCACCCAAGAGCTGCCTTGTCACGGAGGGAAATATATTTTCCAAGATGGGCTTAGCTAGCAAGGGCTTCAAAGATCCGAGGTAACATCCTGGCTTCCTGGCAGTCAGTGGCAAGGCTCCCCGGGAGTTCCCTGGGGCCAAGAAATCATTCCAGAACCTTGCACTTGTAAAGTAGGCCTGGTACAGAACAGGAATGCAGATGAGGTTTCCCGGAGATTGGGACGGAGTGCTGTTCACAGCTGTGAAGGGCATGAAAGACCGACAGGCCTTTGTAATCTGTTGGCCAACGTTTAATGAAACCCAGCCATGAACTCTGGACGCCAGAACTATGGTATAGGCTGATAGACAGCAATGCCCAGGGAAACGGGGGAAGGTCAAGCAGCTGTAGCGAGCGTGTCCAGTCTGCAGAGGTGGCGGGAGGGGGAGCTGTAATGATCCAGAGAAGAAAGGAGGTCAAGGAATACAAAAGAGCAGCAGAAACATGGGAATGGAAGCGCTCTGTTTGCAGGTGCTGCACAGACTTTTATCCCCCATTAAAAGCCAACAGTGCGCTGGAGGTAAATCCCCAGACATGGCTTTGAAAATGTGGGAAATCCAGACAGGATGCTGGGAGGTAGTGATGCCTGTTGGTTAAATAACTGGGATTGCAAGCACCTTGATGCTCAGTTATGATGTGGGGAAAGGGCCTTGTTGGCTGAAATATAAAATAAAAATATCGAGTCCCTTAAAAAAAAAAAAGAAGCTCCGAGATGTGCAGAATTCGCATCCAATGCACAAAACACGAGAAGATGGTTATTAAAACCCATCTTTGTGGGAGAGCCTAATATATGGAATGTTACATAAATGAGGAACCATTGAGCAACATTTCTGTCTCAGCTTTTCCTTTCCTGAAGACAATCTCCTGCACTTCTTTCTTAGTGGTACTTTTTTTACAGCCTTATTTGAAGAAATGCCCTGCCCTTTACAGCTGTGTCTGTACAAAGTTATGGCTTAGTCATTGGAGATTCAAACCCATTGCTCCTGTCTGCCTGTAATGAAATCATAAGGGGTAATAAGGTCGTATATTTCATGTCCAGAAGGCTACTCTTAGTGTGTTGAGATTACAGTTTTATAACCCATTATGCAACCCGTTTAAAGTTTTGGAACTAAAACTGTCCAACAGTAAAATGAGCAGTTTGATTTCTGCAGCTTAGCTGCTGCGTCTAGTCTTCTGGTCCCAGGGTCCCAAAGAGTTAACTGGTTAACCTGTTAGCTGATAAGCACCAGCTGATTGTTTCCATTGGTGGTTAAACTCTTCTGCTGGCTCGGCTCCTGGGAGCCAGATGCTACCCTGCACTGTGGGCTGTGCAGTATAGGACTTGGACTGCAGAGCCTGCAATGCAGTCAGCTCCCCGGGAGAGGGGCTGGCAGCCAGAAGTTGGGGTGCCCAGCTGCCAGCCTGCTCCCGGGGAGCCACCTGCTGCCCCCCGCTGCAGGCTCTTGCTCCCCAGCGCAAGGAGACACCGGCTGATCACAATCAGTAATATAAATTTGACCCCAAACAGGAGCGCTCAGCACTTCCTAGGGGTCTGAGCCTCCGTGCTTTGGGCAAAACAGGGGATTGGTGTCAGTGACAGCTCAGCTACTAGATGGAGCTGAAAGGTGGAGGGAGGAGGAGCAGTTTGGGGGTAAACAAGGTGGGTGACTCGGGGATGCTTTATTGCAGGTGCTGTACGAAAGCGCACACAGTGTAAGGGGCAGAGCTTGGCAGCAAACCAGATTTCTGTTTGAAACAGTGGCCCTGGTCTTGTTACATGCAAGAACTGACCTCCGCGTCACTGAGAGGGGAAATGGAAAGAAGTTTCCCAGGAAACGATCTGGATTCCAAAAGAAATGTCCGTGTCACCACTGAGATTTGTTAACCATTTTCCTCTCCTTACCTGCTTAAAAGGCAAAGGGGGAAGCTGGGTAATTTATAGCAGAAACAGTGAAACTGATTATACACAACGTGCTGTCAAATGCGCAAAATATACTCCTGAGAAACCTGGCTTCCCCCTCCATGGTCACTATGATCTGCCTAATGCAGAGGCAACTGAGGCGGCTGCCTCAGGTGCCAGATGGTGGGGAGGTGCCACTAGGACCCAGAGTGTAGAAAATTGTGTCTGCTGCTGGTGCAGATGGATTCTCTCTGCTCCAGATGCACAGAGATGGGGGATGCTGTGCTGGAGGAAGAAGAGCACAAGAGACCTTTCAAAGTTTTGGCCCAAGTGAGGGCGCATGGGGGTGTCATTTGAGCTCCCTGCCTCAGGTGCCAAAAAGTTGTGGGCCAGCCCTGCCACATGGGGTGGCAGGGGGTTCCCAGGAGCGCCCTGGCTGCCGCCCCTGCCCCTGGGGCCTGTCGAATAGTTGTGTAACCGCAAAGCTTTCACGCAATCACACAACTATTCAGTTGCACGGTATCTAGCATCCCTGCTATTCTGCCACCAATCTCCGGCCATTTCTTCCTTTGGCAGATGCTTGCAGTGCCTCCACACCACGCTGGCTGCCCTTTGTCTCTTTGTCTGCACAGTCGCGTCTGGCGTTCCGCATGGCTAGCGGCACACATGCATGTTTGAGAACGCTGAGTGCAGATGCAAAGACAGAAAGAGACTGTGCCCCAAAGATTATGGCTGGTGGTGACTGAGAGCTGTCAGACCACCCAACAGCCCCTTGATGGTACAGGGAAGGGGCGGTGTCACCCCGTCTCAAACAGTTGGGGAAAATGCACCTCGTGCCCTGGGACCTCCTGGGCAGAATTAAACTCTCCTCTTGCTTCGGAGCTGGTCCTGGCCTGGAGAAGCTATCGCCACTGCAGACAGAGCAGACTTGGATCTCTGTTGCCCGTCCAGCACCTCTCACCAGCTATACGTTTAAACTGAATGCCCTACTGTAGGGGCTTGGCTTTATGGGTTTCCTGGGTCCCCTCTCTCCCTGTTCAGTATTGACTCCTGAATTGTAGAGTCCAAATATTAACTTGGAAACGTTAAGGAGTCTAGCCAGCTGCTTATAACCCCACCCTATTTCTGTGTCCGTGGGCTACGGGTGCCCTTTTAAGTCTGCTTCGTCTAAATGGTCAGGCTGGAAAGAATGACCAAAGGGAACGTAAATCCTTACTCTTTTTTTCAACCCATTGTGTCCTTGCCAGAGCAACGATATCGCCAGGGGCTTCGAGAGAGGGTTGGAGCCGGAAAAGATCATCGGTGCCACAGACTCCTGCGGCGATTTAATGTTCTTAATGAAATGGTAAGTCTGGGGCGTCACTCCCCCTTTTCAGATCAGCAGCTCGGCTGGTTTTCTGGCCCCTTCCAACCTCACCCCGAGGAGGGGTCCCAGGTGAGCCACCGTAGTGAGCAGGACAAGGGCAGCTAGGCAGCTCTGCTTTCTTAGTGTGGCTTCGCTCGCTCTTCTTCCGGCTGGCCGCTCCTGGCTTAAGTTGGGCCACTGGCCTGGTGCTCACTGGGTGTGGGGCTTGCTCCCTGTCCCCAGCACAGCTGAGTTCAGTGCCTGCTGGAACCAGCAACCAGGCAGCTTCCAGCTCCGCTCCTCCCCCCAGAGCCCCAGGGAGAGCAGTAGGAAATCCACTGCCAGACAGACAGACAGACAGACACACCCAACACACTCCCCAGTTGGCTCTTTCGGTTCCTTGGCTTTTTGCAGCTGGGCTGGCATCTTGCTGGGCTGCAGGCAGCGGTGGCCCCTCCCCCACCCTCTGCAAAGACAAAGAGCTGGGAGATTCCTGTGCAGCAATCCTAAGGCGGCAGCTCTGTTCTGGCGGCTCCTTCCAGTTCCCGGCTCCGCCGAGGGAGCTCCCTGGCTCCTGGCACCTGCCCTCGGTAGGGATGGAATCGTGCGGCCAAGGACCCGACAAGCAAAGCTTATAGGCTAATGCTCTAGACAACACGCAGTCTCTCTGTCTCTCTGTCTCTCTCTCTCTGTCTCTCTCTCTCGTTTTTAGCAGGCTGGCCAGCAGGTTCATGCTGGGTCCGGGACCTACCCCACTGCAGCTCTGCATTTAGAGTGCATTAGGAGTCATGCTGCCCCGCGACAGCCAGCTGCTCTGGGAGGGGAGCTGGCTTTTAAACTGGCTGCCCTCCCAGACCAGCTCCCGCCTGGCAGCCCACGCTGCTGCTTCTGATCCAGAGGCAGCAGCGCGGAGTGGCAGGGGCTTCTTCAGAATGGGGCCGGAGTGCACTGGCTGCCGGCCCCGCCCCTGGGGATTATAGACTAGTCGAGTAACCGATAAGAATTCACGCAGTTAATCGACTATTAACCGATATTTACCATCCCTAGCCCTCATTGCCCCCGAGTCCAGCACCGAGCGTGCTCTCTTGGACTGGTCACGCTTGTCCTTCTTCACCGTTACCCCCTCCCGCATGCTGGGTCGGTTCAGTGCTGTGCTTTCCCCCGGGGAGGTTAATCACATACTGGGCTTGAATGCCTTCGCGCTGGCATGGTCCTTAAGGCAGAGCCAGCCCCTGCCACGGTGACTGACAGGTCCCATCCTGCCGCCTCGCTGGCATAGCACAGGCACCCCCGGTGCAGGAGCAGTAATGCGCAGGGAAGAAGTCGTGCTTAAAATGCCTACCCCACACGGACTGTGCTTATGGAACAGAGGTGGAAACTGCAAGATGAGGGCACGATCTTGGTAAATGAGGGAGGCATGTTTGTAGCGGTACCAAAGTGGACCAGACTAATACTGTAAACTACTAAAAACCTAAAGGGCAAACTTGAAAAGATTTAACACGGCAAGGAATGTGCTTCTGTGCAAGGTACAGTAAAACCTGCGTTATCTGGCACGCTCGGGGGGTAGGGTGTTCCGGTGATCTGAGGGTCCCATCAACCTAGGGAAAACCAATGGACAATAGTAAAACTCAAGTTTTGAGTATTGGTAGTTTTGTAGCCTGAGGCAGTTGGTCTCATTTTTCTTTTGAGTTAAAGATGATTAAGCCAATCCTGGTAAACCAAGCCAGGCCTGTGCGCCTGAAGATGTGACAGTATTGTGACTGGGAGCAATGCCTGTTAACGAAGTTTTCTAGTTAACAGAGTGCCAGATGACACAGGATTTACGGTAACAAGTTTCAAAGCTGTATTAAGTCAATGTTTGGTTTTGATCCGTGTTCTGGCCACTTGGCGTTACGAACGGCCTCCCTTCCCGAAGGCGGGGAGCCCTGGGTTCTGCTGCTGGCCCGCAGGAGCCCAGCGCTGACCAGGGGGTAATGCGCTCTCTCTCTCTGACTCCTCAGGAAAGACACGGATGAAGCAGACCTGGTCCTAGCAAAGGAAGCCAACGTGAAATGCCCGCAGATTGTGATAGCGTTTTATGAGGAGAGACTGACCTGGCACGCGTACCCAGAGGACACGGAAAACAAAGAGAGAGAAGCAGCGAAAAGCTAAAGTGCCGTCCTGCGCCCTCCTGAGCTGTACATACACATCCGCCCCACCTGACCACATCCATTGAAATGTGCTTATTACTGTGCCCCCAGGAGACACCTTGTTCTTGGTTCAGTCGTCACATAAATGATTTGCTTCATGTCCAGCTCCATCTCTAGTGAAACCCACGAGATATATGTGCTGTGTGTCCTCCTCCCTCTCCCCCGCCCCTCCCGAAAACGGTTTGAACGTCTCGCCGCCTCATAGAGCCGCCTTGGTTTTATAGAGTTGTTGCTTCCCTTGGCTCGGCCCGTTTTTGCCGCTTTAAATGCCGAGAGCGGCAGCAATGCCCCTTCTGAGTGGGATTACCCTGTCCAGGTGCACACATGGCTGTTGGGGGGAGCCCGCTAGGAGTGCTCTGCATTTGGGGAACCCTGCAACGGTTTGAACGTCTCGCCGCCTCATAGAGCCGCCTTGGTTTTATAGAGTTGTTGCTTCCCTTGGCTCGGCCCGTTTTTGCCGCTTTAAATGCCGAGAGCGGCAGCAATGCCCCTTCTGAGTGGGATTACCCTGTCCAGGTGCACACATGGCTGTTGGGGGGAGCCCGCTAGGAGTGCTCTGCATTTGGGGAACCCTGCGAGCGCCACACGGGGCAAAGTCTCATTGGGACTGTGCATCTGGACTCCGTCGTGATGCTTTCCCGCCTGTCTCGTGACTACGA